CTCTCTCTCTCTCTCTCTCTCTCTCTCTCTCTCTCTCTCTCTCTCTCTCTCTCTCTTTTACCCCCAGAGCAATGGACTCACTTTTGAGCGCTTTCTGCACCATCGTGGAAACTCTGACTCTGCTCTAGTTGATGGGAAGAAGGTCGTTGAAGTTGGCATTCTTGTGTAGTTGTGCGTATGTTACACTTAGAAAGGAGCACCCGCACCCCACCCCACCCACTTAACCTCCAAAGCCCTGAGCCGCCCACCCCCCAGCCCAACAAGGAATACTATTCTTTTCTGATGGTCTATTCTGAGGCGGTGGTAGCAGCAATACATATCCAGCAGCCCCCACACAACCCTGCCTCAGTGTCTCAGTGTGGGTTGGGGGGCTGGGCACAGGGCAGATTATCAGAGTGAGGGCAATATATGATTGTCCCCAGACTCGACTCCAGGCTACTGGGGATCCTCGTCCTGGAGAGAATAACTTGGGGCTCCAACCCAGATTCCAGGAAGATGAAGGAAAATCTAATCCTGGGATGCCAAAAACCAAAGCCAACCCAAACCCACTGTCATTGGCTTGCTGCCTATTCAAGGTGCCCCTGTAGGATGCAGTTGAACTGTCCATCGTTTCTGATGCCGTAACTCTTTAACAGACACAACCGACCTCATCTCTCTCCCACTGGCTGGTAAATTAGAAAAATTGACCTTTCCATTTACAGTCCATTGCTTAACCCACTGCACTACCAGGGCCCCCTATCCTGGCATGAGGAGGACACAAGCTCACTCAAAAAACTCCTACTTCTAGCTAGCTTCCCATCCCCTCCCCCTCCCTCTGCCCTTCCACCCAAGCCCCTCAGCTTCATCTCAGCTACCACCCTCTTCTTAGCCACTGTCTGTTCAATGGACATTTATTTCGTGCCTACTCTGTACCTGGCAGGGAGCAAGGCAAAACTTTCTACTCCCGCAAAGAGTTCCTGAAACCCACAGGAGCAGGACAACTCTGTCCTACAGGGTTGTTATAAAGCCAAAATCAGCTCAAAGGCAGGGAGTTTCTTGTCTTCTTCGTCTTCGTTTTTTGGTGTGGTTTTTACCCCCATGCCTGGCACTGGGTAAGTACTAAGATAAGTGAATGAATAAGACAATCCTTTCCTCTAGGAGGAGTTTGCAGACCACCAAGGAAACAGACAGAAATGATGTCCGTACAGTGTGATGAGAAAGGTGAGCACGCATGCTCAGAGAACAAGGTGATGGGCATACAACCTAAGCTTAGAGGTGACAGGTGAAGGTCAAGGGCAGCTTTCTGGATGAGGTACTGCCTGGATGAAGAATCTCCATGAATGACTATGAACTCATAAAATAAGCAGGGCAGGAAGGGCACTGAGCAGAGGGAGGTTCATTAGGAAAAGCAGGAAGACATAAAGGGGTTACCAGGGATGCAGGAGTTTAACATAAACTCTGAAGGAATCTTTCTGCAAGTCACGGAGAACTACTGGGTAGTTTTAATCCAGAGGAGACGCTGTCAGATACACATTCACTGGATCTCTAAATCAAATAGAGTAGGGAAGCAAGGGATAGAAGAATAATTCAAATACTGATCTGATAATCCAGGTAAAAGATCATGGTGGTGGGTGCTCATAATTGAGAGGGCTACCATAGCCGAGTATGATTTCAGGACAGGTAGCCCTGGTCATATTGCAGCTACCTTGGAGAGTTCTAAGTGGCGCTGTCTAGCCTAAGAGTTTCAAGGTCAGGAGAAAGGTAAGATTGGCACATTAAGGTGGAGATCATAAAAAAAAAAAAAATCACTGCCATTGAGTCAGTTCCAAAGCATAGCAGCCCTATAGGGCTGAGTAGAACTGCCTCTGTGGGTTTCTGAGATTGTAACTCTTTACTGGAACAGAAAGCCTCATCTTTCTCCAGGGTGGTCTTGAAGCCCCGACCTTGTGATTAGAAACTCCATATTATCTGCAGTTTCTAAGCCATGCCCTACTAAGTTCTCCCTGAACTTTTGCTCCCCTTCATTATTCCAGAATGAGCTTTCTATATCTGGAAGCTTCCTAGGAATGGGAGAAGTATCTTCCTCCTATGGGACTCTGTAACAAAATTATATTGTAGGGTTCAGAGTACAAGGGCTGAGTTTTGGTCTTGAAACCACCCACCCCCCGCAAAATGGGTTCTGAGCCCCAGTAATAATAAATTGTGGCATCAGTAATCTCGTCCAATGAAATATCTTAGCATTAGGTTAGCCCATAGAGGTTTTTTAGTTCAATCCTTATGGCAGTACACTAACTCTTAGAACCACCCAGGTTAGTTGCCTGCTAGCATCCTTTCCCCCACTTTCTCCTTTTGCTTTCAATATCTGTACTGTTGACAGCATCAGAGGTGTGTTTGTGTGCATGTGGATTTGACTCTTACTAAAAAGTGTCAAGGAAGTGTCATCTTTTACAACACTCATACTAATCCAACCCCTGGTTCCAAAAGCTACATCCTGGTTGGGCAGAGGCAACCACAATAAGACACCCTTTCTTCAGAACACCAGGAATCAGGAAATCAAGGCAACCGGTTAAGAGCGAGCATAGGACACAGACTTTGGGCCTCAACTTAAGTCTTTTAACACAAGACCACGTTGTTCTAATAACCTGGGACTGTGTGATACCTTCCCAACACAGTTGCCGAAGACAGAGTGAATGCATAAGTAAATGTGATGAGGAAAGCTGATGGTGCCTGGCTATTAAAAGATATAGCTTTCTACTTGAGCCCTTGGATGATGGCAACAAATGTACAAATGTGCTTGACACAATGGATGGATGGATGTATTGTGATAAGAGTTGTATGAACCCGCAATAAAATGATTTTTTAAAAAAAGATATAACACCTGGGGTTTTAAAAGCTTGAAGTTAAACAGGCAACCATCTAGCAGGGAAGCAACAAAGCCCATATGGAAGAAGCCCACCTGCCTGTATGATCATGAGATATTGATGTGACCTTGTATCAGAAGATTAAAAACAATTATATGAATGTGGAGAGGGTTTAGAGTGGAGACCCAAAGCCCATCTGTAGACCATTGGACATCTCCTCACAGAAGGGTCACATGGAAGGGAAGATTCAGCCAGGGTGCAGTGTAGCACCGACGAAATACACAACGCTCCTCTGGTTCTTTAATGCTTCTTCTCCCCACTATCATGACCCCAGTTTTACCTCACAAATCCTGCTAGACCAGAATATGCATATTGGTGCCAGATAAGAACTTTGGACACAAGGAAGTCAGGACAGATAAACCCCTCAGAAACAGTAATGGGAATAGTGATACCAGGAGGGTAGAGGAAGTGAGGGGAGGGGAAG